TATGAGTTTTTATGGCTGAGGGTGGACTTAACCAGGGTGTCCCCAGACCAGGTTCAACACCCCAAACCAGACATTATATTAGCTGCATAGCAGTGAAGAATGATTGCATTTGACTCTGATTTATTTTTCTCTGGTGCAGAAATCCAGGCAATTATAATCAGGAAAAGGCACATTATTAAACTAGCTCAGAAGGCTTATGGCTTGTAATTTTCATAATATAGCACTGCTCTAGTCTACCATATTTTTTCCCTATCATTTGGAAGTACTCTTCACAGCAGTCTGTTTTGCTGGTAGTAGTAGAAAAAAAGGTAATGATCACAAATTTATACTGGTGGGTACTCCAATTTCCAGAATGCAACGACGACAACTCTGCTGGGATTCTTTTGCAGGAGTCTTTGAAAGAATCCTGATTAGACAAATTGACAAATGATTAGTTTGTCCATGGCTATTAGCCTAGTTCAGAGGTCAACAACCAGATGCTCCTGGGAGTACGGAGCAAGGAATGGGTTTTGCCATCATGGATTGGCCTCATGGGCTCTTCTCAGAGGAGCTAACTGGCTGTTGTGGCCTAACAAGGTGATGTCAAGATAGCCTCAAGAAGGAAACTTAGGCTGGGTCCTTAATGCAGGCTACTCTATTTGCATCTTTATCCCAGAATTTCCTATTCTGATTAGATATGGCTCTGATGGGTTCTGGGTAGAAAGGCAATCAACTAATTGGCATACCGGTCAACTAAAAATGACTGAATCACCAGTTCACTATGGATCTATTTGGCCAGCAGAAATCAATCCTTATCTAGAAAAATTTGCTCCTGCTGACGTGGCCTGGATCTTGGTGTCTTTAATACACAGCAGCATCCAGCATTTAAATTGCCAGCTTGCAAGTCAGCTTGTGATCTCAAGCACCGCAGCCTAGGCACTGTGCTGCCCAATGAAGTCTTATTTTTAGCAGCAGGACTTCATCTGTATTTTCTCCAGAAACCACGGGATGGCAGCATTGCTCTACCAGCATCCAGAATCCACTGCTGAATTGAAATGGCCTTCTAAAGGAAGTTCTCCTTCGTTTTGCTGAGCGCAGGGACCCATTATTTTGGAAAGTGTACTCCCGTGGCCCGGTAACATAAATTTCTTTGGCGTGCATGCCAAGAATGTCAGGCAATTCAGAACATTACAAGCGTTACACATCGAAATATGCCTCAGTTCCGCTGTCACTTTTGCTCAAAGCTCAATTCACATATGCTCTCTGCGTTGGAAGAAGAGCTGCTGAAAACACAATGCAGGCACTAGGACCTCAGGACTGTGATGTGACTATTTTGTTCTTTGACACTTTTAGTGGGAGGTCTTCCTGTGTGGGCGACCAATTCCTGGCTTTCTTCATCCTGTTCAGAACTCTGACATCAAGCTCCTTCTTCTGTCTTGCCCTGGGCTGGGCTTCCTCAAAACCCTATTTGTCCTTTCTCTTCAGACACAAACTTTCCAGGAGTTTCTTCCATTCTTCCTTTCAGCTTCTGTTTCCCAAATGCCCTCCACTTTGTGATTTTTGTCCCCAAATATCTACCTTTTTCAATAACTGATTTCCCTAAACGCAGAATCTGCATAATGCCTCTCTCTGTCCAACACCCTCCATGATTTCCTTATTTAAAGCACACTGGTGGAAGGATGTGGCAAAGCACGATTATTGGCTCCAAGTGACACCAATCAAGGCACCGTGCGGCTGTTCTGTCTTTCCTTCCTTAATAGAAAGTCGTTGGGAAACTGGGGGGGCAGGGTGTTATAAGTGGAACATAGTATCAAGATCCCCCATAAAATTATGGGAATCAAGCCACAAAGTTAGTTGTACAGGAAAGACTTCATCTGAAGGGACCTAAAATTGCTCTCACAGAGGTGTTTTTATGAGATGCAAAGATGCAGCCACCCCTGCTGTGCAGAAATAACATTAGCCCTCATTTCTATGGGCAGCCCATGGTGACCTAAAATGTTCTTCCCTCACCCGGTATTCTGGAAGATGTATTTATTCAACTTTTGTAACTCTTAGTCTTTGGGAATTATGGGAATTCAGCAAAAGCGTCTGTAGGGTACGAGGCTGGAGAACCCTGGCTTAGAAGAATGGGAGAGTCATATGAGGAAGTCATTTGATTCTGGCATAGGCCAAGAGAAGTGCAGAAATATATAAACCAGTAGGCACCTTCGTTAAAAGGACTGGCATGTGTATGGTAATCCTCTCCTTTTCTTTTTCCAGTTGGCTAAGTACAGCGTTGAAGAACTTGCGGCCATCTAGATGATTACTACTGACCATGCTGACTGGGGATACTTTATTAGTAACTTTTTTCAGTGCCATTGTAACTTTGGTCACTAAACAAATGGTCATAAGTCGAGGACTACCTGTAACAGCATCCCATGAAACAGAGGTGGTATTTTTTCCCCAAAAGGTTCCATTCTGTCAATGGAGAATCATCTGATAGGATCTGCATTCCAACAAAGGGTGGGACCAGAACCACTTCCTCTTTTCTCCCACCCAGCAGTTTCTGGGGAAGGCAAAAATCATTTCTGGTAGAGGTTCAAACTGATTGCTTGCAGAGGGCCTTTGAAATGCAGCCAAGTTGCCCACCTGCTGCTTTACCTGCTTCAGTTTACTCACTTTACACCATGAGTAGGACATGGTGTGCGCAGCCCATTTCCACTACAATGTAAGTTAATCATCTTCTTCTTCACCAAGAGATGTATCAGTGACAAACAGAAAGCTGTGCCTTGTGCAGCTTATTCCCGGCACTGATGGATACCAACCTGTCCATGGTGCCAATGCATGAGAACACTTGGTTGTTATTGGGAGCATCAATCAGCTGCCTATCAAGCCTGAAGGAAACATGGCACAGGAATTAATACGTAGTCAGACTGATACATCACTCTCTCCCGTGGCCTAAGGGTTGTACAGAAGGATCTCGCATAAACACTTTTGGACTGAAAGCATCTCATTGACCAATTGCTTTTTCACTTCTCTTAAATGCAAAGCTTGGCAAGAAGAAGGTGCCTTTGCGTGAAGTGTTTTGGAATGAGTGAAAGCCATAGACTGCCAGTGGAATTTCTTTACTTCCCTTTCAGAAATTCTAAGGATCCAGGAGCGAATCTAGTTCAGCCAACATGCTTCTCACGTTCAAGTTCCACCAATGAATGGTTGTTTTTAACACCTTGAGGTTTCACATCACACTAAACCATAATCAGATTGGCTTGGTTCTGGCTTGGCACAATGTTTTGACCGAACCATTTATAAACCATGGTTTATCATAGAGCATATTGCCTAAATCAAGGAAGTTGTAGCTTGTTCAAAAACTGGTTAAAGCAAGCTATGGTTTAGTAGGAGGTGAGAATCCAGACAGGCGCATTTGCACAATCTCTTTTCAGGGAAGCTGCTGCTGTTAGGACTATTTGTAGCTTACTTCACATGCAAAGGATGCAGCTGGTCAGAATCTGCACCACGTCCAGCATATCCTTCTGAGGCTCGGGGATTTCTGTCACCTTGGAAAGCCAAGGCAATGGATTCTGCAAGTGAACTGGCTCAGCTCCTGCTTCAAAGGAAACAATGCAGCGGTTTTGCACGGCTTGCTTTTTCTGGAGCTGCCAGACAGCTTCCTCCTCAGGGGAAATCCTGCCTTCTCCCTCCAGGATTCCCCCTCCTTCCTGAAGCCAAGGCCCTGCGGCTCCTTGGCTCGTTTGGAGGTGGCTTTGCCCAACACTGACTGCCTTGCTCCCTGCAACACAAAATGCTTATGTAGGGTGTAGTGGAGAAAACAATCTAACAGACAAAATGGAGACTGCACCCTTTTCCTTCCTGTCTTGGATATGACTAGGATCAAACCCAGTTCATCTCTTCTCCTAATCCCATCAGACCCAAATTGACCCTCCCTGCCCCCAGACAAAGCTCCCTGTAATCCCATCTAAACCAAAGAATAGAAGTCTCCTCACCAGTTCATAGCACAGTCCAAAAGCAGCCCTTACAAGGGAGTTGCAACATAATAATAACCTAGAGAAACCCCAGCCTTCCATCCTCCATCAGCTGATGACCTCAACATTCCATCTCCTTTAACAATGAAGTTCCTCAGCTCTGCTGCCCTCCTGAAAGGCCCATTTTGCCTAACTGTAGAACTCACACCAGGTATAGGGGCAAGGACCAGCCTAGCTTCCCCAAATGTGCCAGCCAATGAGATCCCTAGGACTTCTTGCCTTGTAGCCCTCAACTTCTATAACAACCTTGGCTTTTCCATTGTTCAGGATCCCTCCTTCTTGTAAAGCAGACACCAAACATGGGTGTTCGCAATAAATATGGCTCTTTTCCTCAGCGTTGTGCTCTTCTTCAGACTGAGTCCACAGCACAGGGATGCAAAGAGCAAGGGCAGAGAAAGACTACCATGGACTGCTGGCCAGCACAAGGGGTTTAATGTAGGGGTAGTTGCTGAACATCTCACAGCAGCAGAGAAGTACTACAGTTGGGTGGGGGTAGAGCCAGCAGCCATACAGAAGGGGCCTATGTTTTTTTTCTTCCCTTCAACCAGCTCTTGTCCAGGTGCTTTGCTTCCCTGTCCATGTCTTCCATAAGCCACCAAAAGCTATTATTTCCCCACAAATACCCCTTGATCTACAGTGAGCAATCTGCAGTTCTGCAGCCCTTAGTTCATGCACTTGACATGGAACCCTCCAGTGCAGAAATTTGGCATTTTGGGGGGGAGGGAGGGATGGAAAATGCTGTAAGCCTCCCCAGGCCTAACTGCTCCTCTTTTCCAACTAAACCAAACAAAGCAGGCTAAAAATTTCAGCCTTCCACTGCCAGAGGTGTGATCGCATCATTGCTGCACCCTGTGCAGCTGACAAATAAGGGCATGATTTCAAGGGGCATTCCCCTAGCCACAAAAAGGAGACCCCCACCTCCCTGGGTGAGGGATTCAGCAAGGACAAAGCAAAATCAGTTTGCAGGATTTACTTCGGACAAAGTATAACCCTTGGTCACGTATGGACGTGCACATCCAGGGCTTGGAGAAGCTTTTGCTCTCAGCCCATCACCTGGAGCAGAGGCTGAAGCCTCCGGGTGCTCAGCCAGAACTTTGGTTCATTGTAACAAGCTGGCCAAGAGAGGCTGTCCCATTCACAAATTCTGTGGCAAAACTACTTCATGGATATAATTATAGAAGTTGCATCTTGGAACTCAGCACATTGGTCACATGATCATCTTTCCCACTTGCCTGTGTGTGTGTGTGCATGTGCGCACGCGCATGCCTTCAAGTCAGGGTTGACGCCTGGTGACTGCCTGGCCAAGTCCCTGCAGTTTTCTTGGCAAGGTTTTTTGGAAATGGTGTGCCCTTGCCTCCTTCCTGGGGCTGAGAGAGAGGGACTGGCCCAAGGTCACCCAGCTGGCTTCGTGCCTCAGGCAGGACTAGAACTCACCGTCTCCTGGTTTCCAGTCCAGTGCTTTAATCACGACACCAAACTGGCTCTCTTCTTACTAGCTTACAAATGCCTTAAACTGAGGGAGCAAATTATTTGCGTACAGTGTTTTTCTCCCCTGCTGCTTGTCTAGCCCTTGTACTGTAGTTGCCACCTTACTTTAACACACACCCCATGACTTTAACGCTACATGATGGGAAGAAATCAATCAGGGGAAGTTACTCCCCCGGTCCCCCGGCTTGATTTCTCCCTGCCCCTGCTGGTGTACTAGGGCAGCCAGCTTTTGTGAGAACAAGGAAGTAAAACCGAAGCGTTAGGCCTTTCCACTGCACGGGGGGAACAACTGCCCGAGGCTTAGCGGCGCCTCCACACCCACCTGGGGCGGCTGGACGCGTATCCTTTCAGCCCGCCAGGCTCTCCCCTCCCCCGCCCGCCCCGTCCCCGGGCCGCGCGTTGTAAATGGGTTTCATTAAGCGGCAAGAGCTCGCGCTTCGCCGACGTGAACGCCACAGGGAAGCGGGGCTTGTAAAGCTGCTCGCGGAGCAGCCTGACAAATGTGTGGTCCCGCGCAGCCTCTGGGGCTCCAGACCCATCAATCTCAGCCGCCCGTGAAGCCGGCTGCAGGAGACGATGGGGGTCAGCGTCCCAAGCGCCGGCCTCGATTTCCCCGGTGCCCCCACAAACCATGGTAAACAAGCAATTAGCCGCCACGTCCCAACAGGGCTTGAAAGAGCCATTTTGCTGGATTTATCCTCGCAATAACGCGCAAGCAGCCCCAGACGGCAGTGGCGCTGCCTCTGTCAGGGACCACCGCGGTCCCTCTCCGCTCGTCACCGGGAGCTGCCGCAGGGCCCGCACCGTATGGGCTGCCTTACAAATGGTTGCCACCCCTGTCATCAATCCCGCCCCACATCCCCCGGCTCTGGGATGAATGGCGATATAAAGGCTCTGCCAGGAGAAGGGAAGCAGGACGGGGGAGCCGAGCCGAGCCGAGCCGAGCCGAGCGGGCCGGGCCTCCACCATGGACGCTTCCCGCCTCTTGCTCGCGCTGGCCTTGCTCTCGGGCAGCCTGAGGCCGTGCCGAAGCCTCGAGGAGGCGCTCGGCTCCCAGGAGTTCTTGGCCGAAGAGCCCAACACCTACCCGGAGCGGTTCCTGGACTGGATGGTAAGTGCGCTCGGCCCCGAGGAAGCAGCAGAGCGGACACGGGAGCCATCGGGTCTTGCCTTTGCTGCTTGCCCCAGTCCCGCCGTTCCTCGCGGGGAAGTTTTAGCTTCCGACGTAGCTGGGGAGGCACCCACGACCTTTCCAGGGATTGATTTAGGACGTTGCAGGCTGCCTTTCCTAGGCTGGGCGCACAGCTGCCCTCCTGCTCCCATCACATTTCATCCTTACCACAACCTTGCAAGGTGGGTGAGGGAGGGAGACTGGCCTGACCTTGCACAGGGGGCAGAGGAAGGCTTTGCGCTAGACGTGCCAGCCTCTGACACCCAACACCATAGCCCCGTCTGCCCCAACCTACATCCTCCAAATGCGACAACGACTTGCACCATTCCCACCGACAGAGCCAACACTGGGGATCCTGGCACCCGCTTGCCAATTTGGAGGTGAGAAGGTTGGCTAAAGTTGAACCAGAAGGATAGTAAAAACAAGCCCCAACTACAAGAGAGGTTTGTAGCTAATGGCCTTTGCTCATTTCTCTCTCCCAGTCCCAGCCGTTTTTCTGGTATTTCAGGAACTCCCCAAGAAGGACGAAGCATCCTTGTGATCCACCAAGCTCTGTGGCTAAGGGAGATGCATTATTCTAGTTTCTTCTATTCTCCTTTCAGCCACGGACTCACTAGGTGGTCTTAAGAAAGTAGTGATTCTCTCTATCTTATTTTTAGCACTAATAGTGATCTGGGATAATTCTGTAGAGCTCTGGTAAAGGAGTTGAGTGAAAATCTGCAAACTGCCTGGAATTATTTGTGGATTATGGCACATTTGTGACTATATACCTTGCTGTGTCCATAACCTAGACTGCCGCAACTTGAGAATTTCGGCTTTTCTCTTGTTTTTTCTAAGCATGATTCCAGTAGCAGAAGGCATAAGGAAATTCAACCTGCATATTGTTATTTGTCCTGCTTATGTCTAGTAACGAGCATCCACATCTACCCATCTATTGCAGAGATGTGCTCTAATGAATGATCACTTGATAAACAGTATATATATGCTCTTTCTAGTGCACTGTACTATTTGTGGAAATAGGCTCCTCGTTTATTTTTTTCACAAGCTGTGCAGTGGATAAAGGACATCTTTATAGAGGAATTCTGTTCCTGTTTGGCACAAGGCTGCTGTTGGGGAAAGAAGATAGAAAAAAGTCCCCTTTGCAGAACCGTAGAACTGACTTGCTGATCAACAGTTGCCTCTGGCCGGCTGGGGTAGGGAGGCTGCCTTGTTTGCTGGTCCTCTATCTGAGGGCACGTTTGCAGCCACAGGATGTCCAGAATGACATAGCCTGTCCTATTCTGATATGGAGGCTTCAGTTTACACAAAAAGTGCCCGTGCAAACTCAGGCTTGATAGACAGCCCATCTAGGCTCACAACATATTGGGGGCTGAAACAGAATAGCTGCGGATTAGCTATGCATTTAAGAAATACACAAACTGAGCAATAAGAATCAGTAGCCAGGATCTGACTCAGAGCAATCTTTCCCTTGTTATAGGTGCTGGATAAAAATTAAACCAGGCTATACCTAAAGATTTCCATCTGAAGCAGCCTTTCCCAACCTGATGCCCTCCAGTTCAAAACCTACGATTGGTAACCTGGCTGGGGATGATGGGAGCTGTAAACCTATACACCTGGAAGATGCCAGGTTGAGAAGGCTGATCAAAATCTAAAGGCAAGATACATTGGCTGGGTTCTCATAACACACTTAATGCATATTGGGGGTTTGCACAGTATATTGAATTACATACTAACCACATTATCTAGGTTTACCGAACACACTAAACTTCCCATCCAAAAGCAATCTCCTAATTAGGATTAAAACTAACCAAGCTTAGCATGTTATGTGAATGCAGCTCTTTGATCTTTAACTAACCTGGCTAAGCACATTGTGTGAATCCAGCCACTAGGGTAAAAGCAAAGGGAAACGGCTGCCTTTATTTTGTTATGGTGCAGGATGGATCTCCTCCCATATGTAGGTCTCAAAGCTGAAGCCACAGGCAGCATGCAATACCTACCTAGTGTTCCTGCCCAATCGGGGTGAACTGTTGTTGTCTTGGGTCATCGTCTGACCCGTTGTACCTCTTAATCCTGCAGCAAACCCTCCTCCTGTCCAGTTGCATGCTCTGATGAGTTCCAGGTTTTCTTCCTACAGCAACAAGAGAGTGAGGACTACGCTGGCCAGAGCTCACCTGAAGAGCATCCTCCGGGCGTCCTTTTCCGCTCATTCCTCCATGCTGTGCAGAGACCTGGCCGCAGCTCTTTCCTATTCCAGCCACAAAGGTATGGTTGATTCAGGTTGACAGGGTAGGCAGAAAGATATACTTAGGTGAAATAGGAGCAAACATGTTGGAAAATGTTGATTTCATGTTTCCATGCAATTTCCAACTTTCATTTTGGTCAATTTTCTGGATTTGATTTGAAAAACATTTTTCCCCCCCACTGGTTGCATTAGAACATCCAGCTTCTGTGGTGCTGATGCTACTTATGCTTTCCATCCAATTGGCATGCTATTTGTAGAAGTTACCCTAACCTCTCATGGCATCATATATTGTAAATATCAGACAAGCTTCATATTTCAGAGATAATTAAGGAAGAATAAGAGATAATGCATAATTGCTATCCAAATAGAGCTTTCCATACTCTGTTTTTTTTTGCCGTTCTCACGCTTTTGTGTGTCCTCGTGTGTGATGGATAAACTGAGGGTGTGTACTAGTTCCAACCGTAGGAGAAAAATTAACCAGGATTGTTTCACTTTACTGAATTCCTGGCTTACAACTATGTACAAACCAGGAATTGGGTTTTAAATAAACTGCTGATTGGGTTTCTGTTGTATTTATTCAGCAGTTGAGCAGCGTGTATGTTACATCCTGGTTTGAAAGTAACAGCAAGCCAGAAATTAGGCAGCCTGAAACTGAATTGTGGTTCATTCCTCCTCCAGGGAAAAACATGGAGAAATGAGATTGTCAGAACTGAGTTCTTCATGCTTCTCTCTGCTTTTGCTACATACAGCTCCTGGCTTACTGGTGCAAATAAGAATGAAGGAATGATCCCTTGCCATTTGCTGACATTCCCATTCATGTATGCCTCCAACAAGGGATGGGTCTCCTCTTTTCACCTTCCTGTCCTTTAAAAAGAACTAACTGCTTCCTGAACCGCAATCCAGTTCACTTCAGAGTCTGGTCCTGGAGGCAAAGGATGCCCATAATGCTCTGCTTATGAGCTGCCTGGAGTCATTTGACCAGCTGCTGCTGGAGACGGGATGATGCGCCAGAGGGAATATTACCCTGATCTCCCTGTAGTTTTGAGGGTCTGATTTGTCCCCATGTTCTCTGTGTCGCTCTCTGCCTCTGATCCTTTCTCTAGGTTTGGCCGGGAAGCCAGGGCCAGCTTGAGAAGCGCTGGCCGGATCAAACCACGGGCTTGGGATTCCTTGGCACCTCACTTTCTGAGTATGGCTGCCCCACAGCGGTTTGGCAAGAAAAAATGAAGCTGGAGGTAGCCACCCGGAAAAAATAAACACCAAGAGCAATTGCCTCCTGGATCCTGCCAAACTGGATGGGAGCCTCACCTTAATTTTCTGCTCCTTTATTTCTGTGTCTTGTCACTGAGCATTAGCTGGGTGACTGTCCGTGTTAAGGGCTTGTGTTTTGTTAGTTGCTGACAATAATAAAACAACATTGTTACATCTCGGAGGATATGCAGTCCTTTTTGTCATGTACATTACATTAGCACATCACTCTCCCTGCAGTTGACCTTTTGAACTACAACTCCCATGAGCCCCAGTCATCAAGATCTTTGAACAGGGATGATGGGAGAGGTAGTTCAAAGTATCTGGTGGGTGTCGGGTTATCCACTTTGTCCTGGAAGTATGAGGGGTTCAGGAATCAGTGCTCGCCCACCTGGTTTTTGGGTGGAAGATACCGGTTTGGGGCATTGGCATGATCTCAGGTACCAGCTAGGTGGAGAACTCTTTTACTGGAATAAAATATGACGGGTTCAGGACAGGCAACTTTGCATGTTGAGATTCAGAATCATTGTGTGCATTTTGGTCTTCTCAGGAGGATTTCTGTATTGAGGGAATCCTGATTTTGTAAACCATAATATATAAATGAGCCTCCTGTATTTTGCCAGCTGCAACAGCAACTTCTGCATCAAAACATCCTGGAAAAGTGCAAATGTAATTGTGGCAATTGCTTAGTTGACACGTTACTGATACACAGGCATGTTGCTTAGGTAGGAAATGCATAGAACAAAAAAGATGTGTGTGAACAGGACTTTGGAAAAATGGTAACTCAGATGAATCAAGCAATAGTTGTAAGATCACTAGCTAAACTAGCTGTGGGTAAAAGCAACGTTTATCCATTATCAGGGAGTCCAGGCCTCTGGTTCCCACAGAAAAGGCCAATTTGCTCATAAGAGTCTCAGGAAATGAAGTGTTTTCTGTTTGGGAATCAGTGGTATTCAATTCTATGGGGAAAAACAATGAATGGGCACATTTGGAAAAAGAATTACAGTGAAAATTACACATACCTTCTGGTGAGTACACCTATGGTAAGTGAAGTCCACTTTTATGCAAGGAGCTCTGCCCCTTCCTCTGTATGCTATTTTTTTTTAATCTGTTGGTCACAGCGGTGGTGGAATTTTGGCAACGCCTGAGACTGAGTCTCTAAAATATTACAAAATGCAGATTCTCCCCAAAATGGATTGTGCGCAATGCACATAATTCATTACAGTGAAAGACACTATAATTCTGTCCTATATCGCATATGGATAAACTAGCTGCTGGCCATGTCGGTTGAGAATAAGGAGTATGTAGCCCAAGTAGGTGTAAGCATCAGGTGTAAGCATACAGGTGTAAGCATCAGACTGACCTGGCTGAGCTAGAAAAACAGTTGCTCTTTGCAGGACTGGTTACCCATTCAGACTCCTTCCTTGGGTTGGGACTGCTGCAGATGTGTGCAGGGAAGAAATTATTCCTATGAAAATGAGTGTTGGTTTGAGGAGACAAAGACGATCTGGAGGAAATAACTGAAAGACAACATTGTTCGAAACCCCCTTTTAAAAAGAAAAATATTTTCTGGACATGAGGGAGAGGCTTCAGGGATAATTCAAGATTTGTTTGCACCCTACCTGGCTTCCCAGATGTTGCTGGACTCCAATTACCTGGAGAAAGTCTGTTGGGCAGCTGGAGTGGGATGTACAGCCTTGGCCCCTCCCTCCTCATAGAAAACACAGTAAACACGCGGGCAAGGGGATGTGATGCTGAGCGTTTCATCCGCAAGTGTGCAGGACTGCATCTAACTAGCACGGGCCACAAAGAGCTTGAACAGGTCGGCCTGAAGGTTTCTGGCTTGTGGCATGTGGTGAGGGAGGTACAATTCTATTGTATGTGCATGCCTGATTGCTTTAAGGAACTGGGGATAAAATAGAACAACTTTTTACAAAAAAATCCTGTTTATTGCAACTCCCAAACATGATAGAATCAGTCAGTGCTTATCCCCGGAGAACAACCAGGGTGACCCCAAGTGAGCCAAAGAGGCGGGAGTACCGTAGCCTCCACATCGGTTGTCCTTACATCTCAGGAAACAAGGCTCCGTAAACCTCATAATCACTGCAAGTTCAGCCAACATCTTCCAAGTCTTCCAGTTCAGCCAACCTGTTCCAACCCACCTCCCTTCTTGCAGCCCCATCAAATCTCCCTGCCACGCCAATTCGTGAGAGGAAAACAAAGTGGCCTCCTCAGTTTATCCCCAGCATCGTCAGTCACATGGTGTCTCACTTGCCCCCAGCCATGATTTTGAGGTACTGAAGGGCATTGCGGGCAGCATCAGCACGGGCAGCATGGCGGGAAGCGGCTGAGCCATGGCATACGGTGGCTGGCTGTGTAGAGAGCTCCACCAGGCACTGGTAGAGGCCGCTTAAGCTCATCTCATCTGTGGGGGGGCAAAAAAAAAAAAAAGGAGTCTGTCACTCAAGCCAGAAAAACAGCAACCTGCTTAAGTGCATCTTTTATATAAATTTTATACTGATTATTCTTACTTTAGATGAAAGCATTCTTCAAACAGATGCAGAGCAACAGATAAACAACATGTACAAACATTCTGGCAATTAAAATTTTCTGAGCAAGCGACTGCGATGGTAGAAGAACTGATTGGTTCACCTTGTATGGTCAAGGGCAATTTATCTCAGCCTATCAAATTATGAAGCCAAATGGCATCTATGTGATCCTGCTTTTGTAAGCTTCACCAGGGAAACTGATGGGCTACTGTATTGTTAAAGCAATTGTGTGGCTAAACAGAAGTAGCAAATTCCAAATTTTGCTGCAGCTGTGGACACACCAGGTGGCCTAAGGGAGGGGTGGGGAACATGCAGATTTCTAGATACCAATGAATTGCAAATTCCAGCAGGTTTAGCTACTGTGGAGATTATGCTGAAGGATGTTCAGAGTTATAATTCTCATCCAGAAACCTTGGGAAGGCAAACCTATTCTCAAATGGAACATCAGGAGGTGCAGTACAGCAAACTGTCTAAACAATAAACACTGAAGTGATTCTTCTTCTTCTCCATTTCTATCACCCTTTCTATCTTAAATGTTTTGGGAAGACTCTGCCTTAACAGACAGAACAGGTAAACTGTTTCTGTAGCACTGAAGTATGTATTTCCATTCTTGTTTTGAAACTCTACTTTTGGAAATGATATATTATTTGGCATAATGTAATTTTGCTTAGTGAATTGCAATGTATATTTTAACGTTTCATTCTGCTCAAGAATAAAGACAGGATCCTTGCAGAGCTGAAACCTACATTATATACTGACCATTGCTCTTCCTAGCTTGAAAAAAGCAAGGAGTAGACTGCTTAAGCTCATAAGGTAGTGGTGAATGCTCTTTGCACCAGAGTATGATGCTGTCATTCTTAAGAGGTAGCAGGACATACTTGTCAAAACAGGCAAACGAAAATCTGCCTGACTTGGTGACCACTTCAATATCTCCCTCGATATCTAATAAATATATACCTAAATTAAAGCAGACCATTAAAGTGCCTAATATTGAATTCCTGGCCCCAAGTCTTGTTTGTGTCCTAAGTCAGTATTTCTCTTACATGAAGCCAATCATTGATGTGACCCAAGTAGATCCAAGTTCACCCAAGTTCTCTCTGACTTTAGAGGGGATCATTGGATAGTTCTAAGCTTGCTTGGCCACTTCTGCTTTCAGCCACCCAGTCACTCAATATGCAATTGGGAAACACAAAGTTGCATTTGTAAATGGACAACTAAATAAATAAGGTAGTCCTTGTTTAGTGACCACAATTGGGACTGGCAACTCGGTCATTAAGCAAAGCAGTCATTAAGTGATATGATCTTACTTCAGCTTTCCTTTGCTTTACAGACCTACAAAGGTCATAAATGTGAGGATTGAGTTACTTTTTCATCACCATTGTAACTGCAGTCACTAAATGAGGTAGTCCCTTAATAAGGACCACCTGTAGTGCACAGGAGGCAAGAGAGGAGAATTCACCCAACCTTTATAGTTAGCCACTCCCTCTGATCTGTGCCTCACTCCTTACCAATATCGAGGTAGCTGATATCAAAACTCTGCTCTTCAGAGAGCTCCTCCAAGAGGCTACAGAACCCAGTATTGAGGACTCCCAATGGGTGGCTTTTCAGATGAAGAATCTTTTCTCCCACTGAGTTGCGCAGAGAATCCCACGTACAACCAGATCCCCGACCCTTCATCCCATCCAGTTTGGTTCCTGCAATCTAAGTAGGAAAAAGTGTTCAAGGAGGATCTGCTTCTTCCACAGATTTCAGCAAATTCTTCTTTCTGCTCTTAGAGAATTGTCCATAGGTTTCTGTCTTTGTTCTTCCACTTCCTAAAATTCCTAGATGTCCCTGGTGCTCCTCGGTGGTGTTACCAGTCCTTGATCTAAAAATCAGTAACTATCTCCTTGCAGAGTCCCTGTTTAGGGCCTCACAGGAGAGGGAGTAGAAACTGCTTTTCTTAAGTCAGCAGATTATAACAAGTTCCAACATTCAAGATTCCTGTGCCTGACAACACCAAGATTCCCCACCTGACAACACACCTGAGAACATGGATCTTACAGCACCAAGGGGAAATGCAACATTGCTTCTGGCGTTCAGCAATTTGAACCCAGACCCCAGTGCATCCTGGGAAATGCAGGCTACATTTCTGATTCCAGTGAGTCTAGGTGGATGGCTTAGAGGTCTATGGATGGCAAACTGAAGAGGGTATATATTCCGTTCTAGATTAGAATATCCACTAAACAGCATATACAGAATTTCAAATTCAAATTTTGCTTCAAGCCTGGTGACAAACAATATCCCACACATATCTATCTAAGAGCAGCAAACATGTAAGAGTCTACCAAGGATTCCAGTGGAACAACAAATGGCAGATGCTACTGCTATACAACATCTGTCACCTGAGTCATTTGCCTAATGGTGGGGCCAATATTATGGTAGAATTAAAAAAAACAGCTACCATTTTATGGACATATTCTCCCACATAATCACAACTCCAGTGTGTTAGTGTTCTCGCTCATGTCCTCCATGCCTGCATGTAAGAGAGCAAGATCTGCACTAGGATGCAAGCATGAACGTTACATTCATAGAGAAAGTCAGCTAAACCAATAGAGACAACATTAAAAAATCAATGACTACGCTGACTACCTAAAAGGCAGCACAAGTATCCAGGGGATGGGAGCCTTTGACCTCCCTGGTCCAGGAAGAGTATGGACTTCATTTAGTAGAACATAAAAAGAAAAGAGGAAATCGTATGTAGCTGATTAGTGTTACTTAATCAGAAAAAAAAAGTTGGCTATTGAATCCAGGCATGTTATACTGCAGGATCTGGATGAGATGAAACAGGTGTCAGTGCTTTGACTAGGGATTGCTTGACGCTGCATAACTTCAAGCTCTTAGCCAGAAAATCCAGGTGAGAAGTACCTGAGGACTCTCTAACAGAAGTATGAGGGATGTGCTGGAATGAGTGGTTGATGATGTTTCTTGAAATTTACAAACTAAACAGGACAGGGTAAGTCATTGATCTTGCATGTTTTCTGAAGGGACTCTAATATAGCCATAAATACTTGCTATCTTAATTTCCCACAGCATTACTGCCTTAAAAAATTGCAGCCATTATGCCCATGGGACACTGCTGCTCCACAAGTTGCACTGGTTGCCAGTAGGCTTCTGGGTGCAATTCAAGGTGCTGGTTACCACCTATACAGCCTGATTATCTGTGGGATCACCTATCTATTATGGTTTTTGCCTGTCCTATACAACTGGGCACACTGGGTATGCCCCGGGCCCCCTTCATTAAACAACATAACATGTTGGGACCAGGAAGCATGCTTTCTCTGTTGTTAATGCCTGCCCTCTGGAACAGCATCCCCCTAGAGATTTGTGTGGCTCACATCCTGATATTCCCCCAGGCCTTGGGTTAAGTTGGATGCTGAGCCCCTATTATCATTTCATTGGTTCAAGGGATTGTCTTTTTCCCAATGTACATGGTGCATTTCTTATTAACTTTTTTATTATCTTTTAATGTTGTATGCTGTTCAGAGGAGTTGGGTAGACTTCTACATCCACAGGAGAGAAAATTCATTAAATACTTGAGAAGTTATTAACTATATTTAAAGCCAATTTAGTTTTTCTCCTGTCTAATTTTTGGGAGTGTGGCCTCGTGGCATGCCATCCAAAATGTAGGCCCAGGACATGAAAATGTTTCCTATCCTTGAGATAAAGTTTCCGCTGCCAGAGCTGTAGAATGAGGCTTGTAGCAAGTGGCTAAAAACTTGTGAGCTGGCCTCACAAGGCCAGTATTGGCATACACTTTGGAATGCACCTTGGACAGAATACTTGCTGTCTACTCAGTTTTACCCCTGCTTTCTGGAACAGATGTCTAGCATCTTTGCAGGGCTATCGGTGAACTGACTTCCTAGCCTACGATGCAAACACATCCACATTTAGAGCGGCTTTTGTTTCTCTCTTCTATTTCTCATTGTCCCGCCAAGACTCACAATAAAAAACTGGTCCTCCTCTATTTCAGCCTCGCCGCCTTCTCGTGGATCCAGAGGAACGTTATGGATCCGTACCAGCATCTTCGCTGCAGCGTTGCGTTTGGCTAGTTTTTTGGACGTGCCACTCCCTGGAGGAGGGAAAAGAAAAGTTGGGATGGCAATCTGAAGACAGGACTGGTATATTCCCCCCATATCAGATTCGCCCCAAACCCTGAATGCATAGCCACAGATTCCAAACAAAGCCCTCTTTTTTGAGAACCTTCTTCTGTACATTCACATAACTTTTATTATGAATGAATGCATGTGAGTGAGAGATGCTTGTGCTTTGCCTCTGATTTCTCCCATCTTATTTGATAAGGGCACCAATCCTCCTGTCACTTAAGCCTGTTTTAGGGAAGCTTCCCACTCTTGTGGAAAGCCTTATAAATCCCAGTGGGACTGCTGAAGGAACAGATCAGGATTAAGATCTACACAACAATAGGGAATTAAGGCACTAATTAAACAGACTAATCATAGGGGGATTTAGATTCTTCGCTAACATCTTGCAATAGTATACCTATTTCAATAAACCTTTCAACGCGACAGGTCATGGTGAACTCCTTGCGGTGTGCTGGCCCAGATTCCTGAGTGACTGTGTATTCTGGGAGTCGCCAGCCCTTCTGCACCACCAGCTCCTGGGGAAAGAGGCAGTTTAGAAAAACATTCAGCTCTGGAATCTTAATGGGAATGGCAGGTCTGGCCCCTACTGCTATTTTGGTATATGTAAAGCAACAACCTATTTAGGAACACTCTAGTACAAATCCAACTGAAGGCTGCATTAAATTAGCATGCATTTGGATGATAACTGGGAGAAAAATCAAGCCAGCATAACTAATCTTTACTATGGTCACATATGGTCACCATTACTACAAGGTGGATCAAGACAACTTGGGAAGCTGTCCTCAAGATTTATCAGAAGTTGCAATATTGTGACAACAGTGGATGGACTTTACTTACAATATGAGGACTGAGACAACTGCTTCAGCTTACCATTGAATTTTTGAGACGGGGTACATGGCTGATTTCATCATATGTGACTAGTTTCATTCCAGTGCCACAGCTAGCCCATGTTGCTTCTGACTAGAAACCATGATCCCAAAAGACCCATACACACTGATGAGTTCAGTTTTCCTAAAACAGTTCTTGGGCCTTCTTCCAGAACCACTCAACTGTCTGAGAGACTTTTGGAGAAGTGCTGGGGAGGTTCAGATGGATGTGACTACATGGCTGATTCCCCATACCTGCCCTCTAAATGTCGTCTAGTGCCTCATCTTTAAAAATCAGGGTCTTGAGAACACCAACATCATGTCAGGTGTTCTTGTCTAAGCAAAGGATGCAATAAAAGAAGGTAGAGGACTTGAAGTGCATAGCTGGCAAAATAGGGTACAAATAAGAATCAGTGTCAGACACATTGCTTGCATGCAAGCAACATAGATCAGTGGTTTCTGCTACAAAGTCTGATGCTGAAAGAGGGAGCTATACTAGGACCTGCATCCACCTGAGCCTTCCCTTCCCTATCCTGGTGTCTACTCAATGTGTATTAAGGGAGTTGTATTCAGTGCACTGGGACAGCACCCACTTTGAGGAAAGGTGATCAATGCTGTCAACAGAAACTACCTGGGGTTGGAATATAACACAGCCAAGAGAACGGCTTACCTGTAAGGCCCCAACTGGATTGCACTCACATTGCTGTGGGGATACTGGGGATTTTAGGTCCATCGAGGAACTTCTGGATAAAAGATGACACAAAATAAAAGATTCTTCTCCCCCAAAGTGTTGCTAACCCACATACTCCACTCACACTCGTCCACTGCTAATTAAAGGTACAGAAAAGTAGATCTTCCAGGGAGCTGCCTGAGAGGCCCTCAGAAAGGAAAGCCTTGCCTGGAATCTGCACTTGATGGCAAAGCAAAGCACAAGCCAATCAATCTAGGTTGGAGGCAAAAAGTCATTCAAGATAAATAGGAGCATTTCACACAAAGCAAACCAGACAGGAACCACTTGCCAGTATTTCCAATGGCAAACCAGACCTGCCCAGCTAATGTCAGAGTATTGAGTAGCAAATGAAACAGGTTGTGTTCCATAGGTCTGCATCCCCTCCGTCTGCTCTATCGCTCAATTTTTCCCCACCTGGTGGCCTCCAGGTGAGCTGAACCCCCATTCCCAGAAAAGCCATGCTAGCTTGGAATTCTAGATGCTGAAATCTAAACCATCTAAAGAACACCACGTTGTAGTCTATGAAGAGCAACTGGGGCAAAACTGCAAGAACAACCACCAGGAACGCAGACTCAGAGAAACCAGCTTGTCCTCATAGAGCAGCAACGTGCTTTAGGGAAACAGAGGAACAGTTTAAAAACCGTGGGCAGCCCACCCCTGGAGTCTTCACTTCAATAATTACCCCATTACCTTGGAGAGGCTGCTGGGAGGATGGGTACAGGCACAGCGACTGGAGCAGCGGTCGGAGCCAAGGGCTCTAGAGAGAAAGGAGAGCTTCAAAATACAAGGTGACAATATTAAAGCACGCTCAGTGGCAGAAATCCACATAGTGGGATAAGCTGTTGAAATGAAGTCAGAGATCGCCAAACTCGCACCCCATAATCTACGTTTATTATTTTTGTCCTTCAAAAACATATCCTCCGCCCAAGCTTCCTTTTACTGCTTAACATCTGCCCGTTAAACTGTCCTAATCCCATAATAATGGATTTATACAACCTGCTGAGATAAAGGTTGCTGTCTGGTGTCTGCCTCAGTGTGTTGTGTGAACCCAGCTGTTTTATTAGTTTAGGGTTCAGTGTAGTGAGTGAACCCAGAAGTTGAGTTAATTCAGTAAATTGCTGATCAGTAGCGTGAAAACAGCCCATGCATCCATGGGCTGAATAAACTCAATCTTCATTGAAGACTGCACGCAATGTAACCTCATGAAAATTCCACTTTTTGCTTTCTTAAAGCAAAATCTCTGTTCTGCAGTGTTCGTATAATCTCCATCTTATCCTGAGAAATCTCAGAAGAAGCTAAATGTGACTTGTAGTAGAGTTTGGTCAATGACACAGCACACTTTGGCCCAGTAAAAGCTGAGTATTGTGCTGCAAAGTGAAGAAACATGCATGGAACAAGCTCAGAGTGCAGATTTTGGCACAAATGTGTTAAACAAGTGTTTAGTGTTTTTAATGGTACAACAAATACATTGCAGCCTTGCCTAATTCCAGCACTTGGTTGCAAATTTGTCAAAACGGAATTAGTTCTCTTTTAACATTGAGTAAATGTAAAATACTGGTGGAAATATAGCATTGTCAGTAGAATTACAATACTGTGATGCAACAACCAATCTAGAGGCTTGCTTATCTGTGGGGGCATGGAGAAGATAATTTAAACCCTTTAAAGCTTGGCAATCCTTTTTGTCTTTGGTAGCCTGCCCAAGTATCCTCCAAACTGTTAGTATATCAGAGGATTATTTACCTTCCCATCATCACAGTCACTCATGCCCTAGTCACCTCCAGACTGGACTACCGTAATGCACTCTACATGGGGCTGCCCTTGAAGAGTATCGGGAAGCTTCAACTGGTGCAGAATGCAGAGGCGCAGGCAATTATGCGTGCTCCTAGAAGAGCACATATTACACCTCTGCTTTGCAAGCTGCATTGGCTGCTGGTTTGCTTCTGGGTCCAATTCAAGGTGCTGGTTTTGATCTTTAAAGCCCTTCATGGCATGGGGCCAGGTTATCTGAGGGACTGTCTCTTCCCAGTTACATCAGCCCGTCCCATTAGATCTGGCAGGGAAGGCGTGTTATGGGTTCCATGGGCCAGGGACTTGCACTTGGTGAGTCCCAGGAGGAGGGTCTTCTCTGCCATGGCGCCCTCCTTGTGAAATATTCTCACCCCTGAAATTAGGCTCACTCCTTCCCTGCTATCATTTACGAAGTCCCTCAAGACCTGGTTGTGTCATCAGGCCTGGGCGTCTTTGGGGACTGGAGACATTCTTAGATGGCTCTGTTGTGATTGATGTTCTTGCTCTCTCTGTGGAGTTTGTATATTTTAAATTTTTTTGATAATATTCTTATTTTAATAATTACTTTTTATCCTTTTATAACTATTGTTTTTTTTAATCTATTTGCTGCTTTATTCAACTGTTGTACGCTGTCCACAGTGGGTAGCCATTTAAATGTGATTACTAAATAAATAAATAATAAAATAGTAAGAGAATCCTCATCTTTGTCCAAAGTGGACACAAATTAAATTTTTGAGATGAACAAAAAATAAGTGGCATTAGAGACAGAGGATGCCCAGATAATTCTGAAAGGGCATTTGGGCTTCTGATCTCTAGGTCTGTCCCAAGCAGGCATATCCCTCACCTGGCTTCATCCAACGGTGCCTGCTCAAACATGTTTCCTCCCTTCAGAAGCCTGAGTGCCACTTCTGCTGCCTTATGTTTGGCAGCTTTTTTGCTGGGTCCTTGGCCTGAGAACAAGGAGGAGAGAGAAGCCAATACTGAGCCAAAATCAGAATGAGAACTTGTAAGAGTGTGCAGAATACTGGGTGAAGCATCTATTGTTTCCTGACACTCTCCCATTGAAGAAATCAAGGCAGCATACACGGGGCTCTCTTAAATTTTCCATAGACCTGGCCCAGCCCTATTTAGCAAACTAGCTGCCTCCTATGCCTTCAGAGCATATTCTGTGACAAGGCACGGTGGACTTTTGCGACATAGTAGCAGTGGTAGTACAATAAAGACACGGGTTCATCTCATCAAAAAGGCAGCATCAGCACACTGACAATACTCAGCTATACATGTGCCAGGTCTGAGATCCCGCTGACGTCTTGCACCAGTGTCTGGTAGTTGTAACAGACTGGATGGCAAGCAAGAAGCTCATACTAACCTCTAGCAAGATGGAGTCATCACTAAACATTGTGGCTATCACCAGAACATCAATTCTGGTAGTAGTACAAGCTTCCCCTGAAGGAGCAGGTCCATGACTTGGGTGTCATCTTGGGCCTACGGCTCCCGCTTGAACAAGCAGTGGAGGCCATGGCCAGGGGCCTCTGCCCAGTTTGGGCTAGTAAACCAGTTACAGCCAGGAAACTTCCTGGTTAGGGTTAGGGTTATCCTGATCACGCTGAACCGAATTACTACACTAGTTCAGAGTGCTGGCAGGGAAGACTCACTACTGCAGAATTATACCTTTTTTGCAGTTGCTGCACTGGTTATCGGTAGGCTTCCATGCCCAGTTCAAGGTGCTGGTCATTATCTATAAAGCCCTATATGGTATGGCACCCAGGTACTGTATATCAGAGATCATCTGGACAGAATATGATTCTGCCCATCTTTGTGGACAACTAGAGAAGTCCTGCTCAAGATCCCATTCCTGTGGGCAATAAGAATGTGGGCCAGAAAGCAGGGTTTCTATGCAATAGCTCCCACATTATTGTACACATCGTCCTATGCTTGGCCCCTCTCATCATTTTGCAAAGCACTTAAAACTGTTATGTTCCCTTAGGAAAGAATTGTGAATGGCCACTGATTTATTACTAGCTTATGATTTTGAAGAGTTTTTAACGCTACGTTGTGTTTTTATGTACTCCCCAGAATTTTTTTGATTGGAGCACTATACAATGCAGTTAAATAAGTAAATGTGGTAACATACTTAGTGCCATGTAAGTTTGTCAGAAATGATATACTGGTGTAGTTGTCCCTTCTTTGCCAAACTTCACTGATAGAGCGCTCAGCCTCCTAATCAACCACCATCCTTGTCTTCCCCTTGCCCACCTCTATGTTCAGTTTACCCTCCTCCATATCCTACAACTCTAAGGGTCTCCACCTGAGAGGAGACTGATCCTCTTCAATCCCAAGAGAGACCACACTTGTGAGAATTTTGTCAGCCTTAGCAAATGAACAGTTCTAGGAGGAGTCAAATAGGTATAGAAGAGATTCCCAAACTGGGACTCAGGACATTCCCCACACCTACCCCAAGGGAGAGTTGCAAACAACTTGGGGGAGGTCATACCTAAAAAAAAAAACCTGAAGAGGCTTGTGTAGGCAAAGTAGGACCATTATCAAAACTCACTCTGGGTTTCCTTTCTCATTTTGCCTGTGTAAGCCATGGTGGGCAGTTGCAATACAACAGAGTTTAAAAGCTCCTATGACAGATACATTAAAAGTTAATGTATACTTTATTAAATGTTCATTTTATTACAAGTGGCATATTTATTCCTTGCCCAATTCTAATATCAATTAAATCATTAGTTTTATTCAGAGGGAAGTCACACATATTCATGAAACACTTCAGGGGGTCAAAGTACCACCAAGTTGGAGAGCCACTCAGCTCTGGCCTAGGTCTACCAGTTCTGGGCTGCAAAACTCCAGGCAGCCACTGGGGGGCATCTGTATTTTTACAGGGTGGATCTGGGAGACCTATTATTGTTGGAGGTCTGGCAGCAAGGATCTTTTAAGGATTACTCCCAAGTCTAAATGATGATATCACGAATTGGGACACAATTAGTTTTAGCCCTCCCTCAGCAGTGTCCCTTGAAACTGCAATGCTTTCAGGAAAATGGGTATGCCTAACTTTGGAAAGAACGGATACATACACAGACGCACACCACATACAGAACCATTAAGAGCTTTCCATACTCCTTGTCTCTCATTGCAGCTCTCAATGTATTTTATTTGGGAAAAGGATTTATAGGGAAAAATTTCAGGAGGAGGAGGAATATATTGGAATGAAGCAGGCATATTGTTGGCCTGGATGAGTTCCCACCCAAAGTTCAAGGAATGAGAATGGCAATGAATGTTTTGTGGGAAGGGTTTCTAAATGCTATATGGATTCTGTAATACAGGATCACTAATATTTTTAGATTTCTCCCATTGTAAGCTTTACAAGCTCTAAAAGTACTTTGGTCTGTAAAAAAAAAAAAAAGTATGCTTTCCATTTACTATTTCTTATAATGTAGTCTGTGCCTTTAAGATAGACCAGGAGAACAAATCTAAGCAAATAAGTAGAGGAAAAGTCACTGCAAAAAGGCAGACCCCTTTTTCCTGCCAACCCTACAGGAAAGGGACTAATCATGCCACTGTCTCAGATACAGAGGAACCTGCAGTCTGGAAGCCTACAGACTGGCCACATTGCATACACTTCATGCAAAGGCTGAACTTCAAATCAAAACCACAGCTGGAGGATTTTTCATTCCTACTATCTTCAAACAACATGAAGGCCAATGAAAAAAAAGGTAAATTGGTTCATCAATATACTTATTCTTTACCGCAACTAACCGGTGCAGCTGATGTCACCAACTGTGACACGAAAGGTAAAGTTGGGCTGATGTGCTTGTCCTTCAGCTTTCAGTAGGTCATAGACAGGTGTTTTGCCTATGCGTGTCCCATACTCTTGTAGCAGGCTGATAGGGGTCTTGCCAGGATTGGACGCCAGCATTTGCTCTATACTGAGGGAAACATGGAAACTGAGATGAATATTAAAGCTACCTTTGCCTCTGTTTTCAATATTTCTGTATCTTCTGTGATCTCATACTTTACAGCAACCTTTCCCAGCCTGGTGCCCTCCAGATATGCTGAGAAACAATTTTGACTCCCCAACCAGCACAAGGCTGTGCTACCAGATGGGTTAAAAGGTGTAGCTCAACATACCTGGAGAGCACCAGATTGGGGAAGAGTATTCTATAACAAGGTGTGTCATCTTTCTCTTTCAACCCCATTCCAACATATCTCCATCTTTATCACTGACAGAAGCAGCTAAACTTCCATAGTGAGTTTCCCAATGATACTAGGATTAAACTCTTCTTCATTTAAAGATTTACCATGTAGTGAACCCTCCCATCCACCTTCATCTGTCTGAAAAATCCAATGAGAATAGAGTAAATTCAAGTAGAATAAAAACTACAAGTTTATGTTCCAAAGACTGCTTTGTCTAGACATGGAGTTGTCATTTAGCTCTATTGGTCAGAAATCTATGACATCCATGTAAGCCTGTGTTTTGGATCCAACTGGAGCACAGTCCAAGAAACTTCTCTGACAGGCTTCAATCCTATTCTTGCTTCTAAGACAATAAAGATATCCTTTATTTATCTTTTATTTTTTTATTTATTTATCCATCCATCCATCCTCTGAACCATCAGCCTCCTGGGCTCTTTTTTAGTAATTGTTTTATATACCTTTTAGATTTTATGTAATTGTATTTTTATTTATTGTTTTAATGAGTTGTAAGCAGCCCAGAGTCCCCCATTAGGGGGAGATGGGCGGGGATAAATTTAATAAATAAATAAATAAAATTAGATTTTATGTAATTGTATTTTTATTTATTGTTTTAATGAGTTGTAAGCAGCCCAGAGTCCCCCATTAGGGGGAGATGGGCGGGGATAAATTTAATAAATAAATAAATAAAATCCTCAAGTTTGAGTTTCAATCCTGGTGACAACATGGACTTAACCACAGTATACTGTTTTCTTGGTAATAAGTATGGAAGCGGGCTTTCCTGGTGACTTTTTATCCAAGTACTACTAGGCCCATCCCTGTTTACCTTCTAAGCCCACACAAGCTGCATGGGAATAGTACACACAACAACTTTATACCTTATGAATTATCATGTCAATTAAACCATTTCTGTCCCTTGTACTGAAGAGAAAAGTGCAGATTTCATTTAAGGAAAGCGGTATTCCATTCCTCCCGCCTCCCCACTTTGCTTTCCTTTCCTTCTGGTGATCAGGAATGTCACACAGAACCCAAGCAGCTGCGCTCCCAATATGGGAGAAGAAACGGGAAAGCGGGAAAATTTAACCGCGCCGGGCCAAGCCTGGGTCGGTCTTCAGTTCCTATCATCCTTAGCCAGCAGCATGCTGGAGGAGGCCGAGTTAACTAACTGTGTTATGATGTGACTGGGCATCCTGTGAGGTGACGAGACGGCTTCTCCTCCTATGCGTACACGGATGCTGGTGTTACACGGAGCGTTCAAGGCCCAGGCAATCCCGCCAAAACACGCCCCATAATCCGCCATGGTAGTCGAGGGCAGGCTGGGCCGCTCGGGCCTGCCTGCGAACATCGCAACGCCGCCCGAGATGCGTTTTTTGAGGAGGGGGTAACTTGGCAACACAGCTGCAAGGGGCGGGGCTTGCCCCTTCGTCTCTTAGCAACGATTCAAAAGGGGCGGTGTTATTCACCTGGGGAAGCTGCCGCAGCTCCTCGCGCTCCCGCAAGGCTCCTCCGCCTCCTCCTCGCTCATTCCCTCCTCCTGCCCCGCCGCCGCCACCACAACTCCTTCCACCCTCCAGTCCGGCTCACAAAGGCCGGGAGAGAGGAAGCGATAGTCTCCTGTCGCCTCGAAAACGCTACGAGGCGCATCCTGGAAGCTGGAGTCCACACGAAGACTACCGCCACAAGGCAACATTGACAAGAAGACTACGCATCCCATAAGGCCTCGCGGCACAGGGTGGCTTCTCTATCGCTACGCTTCAAGGCACTATGGTTGCTCCTGTGCACGCTGGGAGTCGTAGTTCTCCTGTTGTAATGTTGCAAGCTATAACGTGGGAAAACACCTTACGAATATGCCCCAAACGGCGGGGGCGCGGTTCGAGGAGGTATAGTGTTGGCATTACAAGTGAAATACGAACAATAACACGTCAAGATGATTAAATGATTAAAACCTGCGTGGCATCACTTTTTAGCCCGAATCCCTTCTCACATCTCTTTCACGCAATTGCTTAACAACGAAGAACGACCCTGCGGTTACAATTCCACCGAACCTAACCAAGTAAGAGGTTTTGTTTAGTGGATATGTTTGCATGACACACTTAGCCATAGTTAAGTGAACTAACCCATTTGCTGGGTTCACTGAATGATAAAATAAACATATGTTTGGGTTCATCCAGCACACTGTTAAGATGTGATTTTAACAGTTTTGTTGTCTTGTGTTGTGCAAACGTAGCTACGGAGGGGAAAACATCATTTGCTGAATTTCTGCAAATCCAGTAACTTTGGCCTCCCTATCCTTACATCCAAATGTATATAACTCATGCAATGTGCCCTTCTGGAGGTCGTACATAACATTAAAGGCAGGTTTCTGCCAAAAAAGGCTTGCAGTTTAAAACGTATAGGCTGGGAATAATTAAAATAAAAAACAGAATACCAGAAATATGACCTTAGTTACTATTCATGACTAATTTTTAAAACAAGGCTGAATTTTTCAGTTGGAAATGTATTAAATAGAAAGAGTGTAGGTTGAAGGAGATGATACCAAATTTAGGGACAGAAAAACTTCCGTCCGATATTATGCATTGCACAACTTGTTCAGTTCTACGCTGCTTAGGCACCAGACCAGCATCTGACACAGGCAGCCAGATATTGAGACACATTTTGGATTGCACTAGAAAGGGTTTTGGATCAGCTTATGGGTCAAAAGCAAGTCAGTATTTCTTTTATCTTTAGGACAGTTTTGCCGATTAACTGATTTAACAGATTAGAAGCAAGCCCATTCCAAGGCATGGGAGCCTATTTAATAGTGCCTGATTTCTCTGAGCTAGAGCTACCAGATCAAAACTGCCACTGTAGAAATCGACCAGATTTTTGCAGCCCAGACCGGTAGCCCTAGCTCGAATGGGCGGCAGCACCCACCTCAGCTTATTCTCCAAATGGTGTGCTGTTGTGCAACTACCAGTTCAGTAATCAGTTGCTCAGCAACTCTGGGGACACAAAACACCCACACTTAGCCATGGCTAAGAGTTAAATATCACGAAACTCAACAAGGCCCAAGGGCGCCTTTCTTGATCGATTTATCGGGCTCGAAGACGACGATTCCCAGCCAAAGAGGAACGAGACGAACCTGCGCGTCTTTATTCGTTAGTCCCATTGAACGCACACCAGCCAACCTGCACGGACTCGGCTCTAACCAAGACCCCTCAGAAGCCCAGCTCCGTGGGGCCACGGTTCCTACCACGGAGAACGAGCGACACCGCTGAGAACAGAGCCGAGGAAGCGCCGGGAGAGGATCGGCCTCCTCCAGAACCTCCGAACAGCCAATGAGTCTCGGAACTACGTTGCCCTTAAATCAGTGCGAGGGTCCGGGTCCTCCAATTGGCTCCGAGAGTTCCTTCCGGCTTTGTTGCTCGTCCAATTCCGCACGCCTCTCCCCGCTCCCTCCCTCCCTCCCTCCTTCCCGTCCGCTCTCCTGTTCTTCTCTCTCGGCCTCCCCGCCCCCTCGTTCCGACCGGCGCACGCCCCCTGATTGGCTGAGCCTCGCCGGCGCAGGGCCGCAATTGGATCGGCGTGGCAAACCGGCGCTGGGCTGCGCTGGTGATGGAGGGAGCGCTGCTGAAATGGACCAACTATCTTTCAGGTGAGCGGGAGGGTTCCGACAGGCCTGGCCTCGGGGTGGGGAGCAGCGGGGAGCTCTCACGCTTTCTCGGCCCGGGAACGCAGGGTCCTCGCTCCCTGCCCGCCTCCATCCTCCCCGATAGCCCTTCTGGAAATGGGGAGCGCACCCAGCAGCCCGGCTCCTTCCATCTTTGTCGCCGCCTACTCCGTTCCTCACCGTCTCGCCCTTATTCTTATTCATTCTTCCCGAAAGGCAACGATCCTTTCGCACTGGGGCCTCTTCTGCCCGGGCCAGGGGGGTTAGGGCTGCCGCCTTTTAACGGGCAGAGACTGTTAATCTTTAACCGCTGCACACCTGGAAGACATTAAACCGGTTTTGTTTTCTCCAGCGCAGAAATGCGGTGACAGAACAAACTTCGCCCGTTGCCAGGCGGCCTGTAGGTGGGATGAATTTCCGTTCGTTAACAAGCGACCGCGTTTTCTTGAAAAAAATAAAGGACAAACCTGAAAAAGGGGCAGATCTGAGAGAGGTTCATAGGGATAAATAATAATAATAATTGTTTGTGTTTATAGCTTTGCTTTGCAAAGGAAAATTCAAGAAGCCAAGAAAATAGATAATTAAATGAAATAAATCTAAAGGACAGCTTTCGGAAATAAAGGGCTGTCCTTTATAATAAAGGACGTGTGGTCACTGTCGTGATAGTGCTAATATTCATTTCAGGGTGTATGTGCTGTTGGCCCATTTCTTGTTCTTCCCGAAGGACAAAATATCTATGGCCAATGAAATCCATCTCCCTTGTTCTTGGAACATACACAGTACATAAAAGCTTGCTGTGGGCATCCCCTTAATGCAGGGTAGGCACTTTGTCCCCAGAGCAGCCGTATTCATAAACCAGTACGATGCAGTCGTAGGATGACAGCTGATAAGTCCCAGGTTCAAGTCTGACCTCAGTCATGAAAACTCACTGGGGGGCTGGGCTGGGCCTACACTCTCAGGGCAGCTTATCACACAGAGGGAGATGAGAAGAAGGGAGAGCTCCATGTCGGCTACCCGAGCTGATGGAAGAAAGGTGGGATATAAATAAACGTAAGGCAAAAATGGGCTGGGGGGGTTGAAACTGACCATTTTTTAAATTTATAACTGCTGGACAATAAACGTTCCCTTGGCTGGATTATACAGAAGAGTAAACCCCCCATGAGATTCAGTAGAAAAATAGAATAATACCCACAAAGAGCATAGGGAATAAAATCTAAAATATAGTAATACTGCCATTTCATGCAGGGAATTAGAATTATCTTCTATAATCTGGGCTCAAAATCCTAAAATGCTGAGGAAAAGACAAATGTATTTGCCTGGTGCCAAAATCATAAGATTTTGGAGGCAGACAATACTTCTGGAGGGCATTCCAACGAGTAAGTAGGTTTGGGGGCTAACTCCCAGAGACTCCTTGAATTGAACACTTTGCTTTTCTACTCCTGGTTTTTCCCTGGATGGCGTGGAATGGAGGCTGTTTGTGGGGTGAAGCTGCTGTTGGTTCTGTCTGTTGGGCCAGGTCAGCCAGAACCCAAGTAGCCTTTAAACAAGTATTATTAGAGTCAATTGATGTTTTGTACCTGGCAGTTTATGAATGAGCAACCCTTCACCTCAGCAGCATGACCGTTTCTAATGTAATTATAAATAATATTTTTAAACATTAAATACAGAGAAGCAGAGAGCCTGCTGGCATGTGCTAAGGCTAGTCCCATAAGGACCATATTGCCTACCCTAGTCAGTTTAATTTAGAGATTCATGGAAAGTGAATCTAAATCCAAACATATGGGGAAACTTAGTTGGATTCCCTTGCTCCTCCTCTCCCCACAAACCATTTACAAGGTCCAGTTTGCCCTCTTTTTTCTCTGACCTCAGGTTGGCAGCCACGATATTTTGTGTTAGAAAATGGCATCCTCTCCTATTACGACTCTCAGGATGATGTGGGCAAAGGCAGCAAAGGCAGCATCAAGATGGCTGTATGTGAAATCAAAGGTGGGCATCCTGTGCAATTTCAGATGTAACGTAATTTATGTTTCTCAAACTGTGGTCCATTCTGTGTTGTGCTAGGAGCTGCAGCAGCTTCATCTTGTTGCTTTCTCTATGTCAGGGCTACCTGCTGCTCTTCCTTTAAAGGCCTGTGGTTTCTTATCCTCCTCATTAGTTCTTTTCCGAAGGAATCATAGTTGCCAGCCATTCAGTCAGTGAAGCCCAGATTTTTTAATTATTATTAGTTTTGGTGCCTTTGAATCAGTCTTGACTCATGGCTTTTGCCTGGACAGGTCCATGCAGTTTTCTTGGCAACATTTTCAGAACTGGTTTGCCCTTACCTTCTTCCAAGGGCTGAGAGGGATTGACTGGCCCAAAATCACCCTACTGGTTTTGTACCTAAGGCAGGATTAGAGTTCACAATCTTCTGGTTTCTGGCTTGGTACCTTAAACCACTACACAAAACTGGCTCTCTTGAAGCCCAGATTATATCCTGTTGATATCTAGGGATCCACTATGGTCTCTCAGGCTGGTTGTTTTCAGCCTTCAAACAGTGAACGGTTAGTCTACTGACAATAATGCAAATTACATTGATCCATTGCAGAATTGACCTGGATTTGCTGGGATGTAAACATGCTTATTAGAAGTTATATGATGCTGCCATGCCTCTAGTCTGGGGACTCCCAGTGTTCTTTAAGTATTGAACTAGGAGGCTCATGCAGTTGCCAGGTAAACAGGAAAAAAAGTCTTGGCTTGCTCCTGTGATTGAACCGTAGCTTGATCTGCAAATATCAATAAGTGAAGTAGGCAGGCATTATCCCTTGTTAGCAAAAGCACAAAGGTTGCATTTAGAAATCTCACTGTTAGTTCCAAAAACTTGGAGCAATGCTCCAAGAATTCTTACTCCTAAAGGCACTTTCATTCTGGTAGGATAATTTTTATTAGGTTGATCTCTTCCATCTAGACCATTCAGGTTGGGTTCTTGGGTATAATGGTCTGTTCTTCATCCAGATTATATACTTGAGGACATGGTATTCTTTTAGCCCCAGGTGATCTCTGAGTGGTAAAAAGGTAGATTTCTTTTCCCCTCTTAATACATTATCTTATACTAGGTGGGGATTCCAGTTGGTGGCCATGAAGTCATGTTCGACCCAATGATAAAAGTGTGACCTTGTACAAGGCAGAGTGGGGGGCACTGATTTTATGCTTGCTTTTATTTTCCTTTGATTTCTCTCATCCCTCCTGTAGTGCATGCAACTGATTCCACTCGTATGGAGTTGGTCATCCCAGGTGAGCAGTACTTCTACCTGAAGGCAGGAGGTGCTGCTGAAAGACAGAAATGGCTGGTGGCTTTGGGCAGCTCCAAGGCCTGCCTTGGGGATAGCAGAAGCCAGAAAGAAAAAGGTTAGTTCTTTGTCAGTGGCTTTGCACTATTAAAACAGTGCACGCTTGGGCCCGAGCTTCATGGGGATGTTGGCAGAGCTGGTTAGAACTAAGTGGAAACACTTGGTCAACTTCAATGAGGTTCTTTACTCTCACACCTCCTTAGCAAACATATCTGGGCCTGTTGAGCCATTTGCAGCCTCTCCCCTCCATCTGCACCTATGCCTATGTTTGCATATAAGGATTTGGCTTTTCTCACAGTAGTTAGATTGCTGACCGGCTCCAGCAGGTTAAAGAAATCGATACATGACCCTCAGCATCCAGAGAGAGGAGGATAGTGTAGAAATAGCATTGAATGTGCTATCTGGTCCTCAATGCTAGTTTTAATAGACTTGGACAATTTTTAGGTATTTCAACAAAGACATGTGATGAAGAGCAGAATTAATTCCCCCTTTTGCAGAGCAAGTCTTCAGGAATTTTTTTTTTTAAAAAACTCATTATTTGAATGATTGAACATAAACAGTCCTATGGACATCTGTAACATTTCCCGCATTTATTTGGGGGTCTCTGGGGGTCTCCAGGAAAAAACATTGCAACTGGTTCATAACACTTTTGATGCTCAACCCAAGAAAATTAAGACTCAATGAAAATAAAAAATGAAGGGCTTAATGTACAGAGAAAGAAGGACAAATTCCATTCTAGCATTGTTACTGAGTTCACTTATCACAATAAATCATAGTTTATTTCAGCCAAGGTTTGCTGAATCAGCAAAAGTGACATAGTTCATGTGACACATCAAGTTTAATTCAGCATTATTCATGGGTAACATCATTCCACAGACCTATGTGTTAATCTCCCACTCTCTGCCTTCTTGATATCAGATAGCTATTTTTGCAATGGCTTGCCACCACCCGCCCGCCGTTGATTTTTTTCCCCTTTAAATTAAGCAGCCTCAGTTTAAATGGGGGAAACTCACATAGTAACCCCATAAAGGTCTAAATCGCTATAAGATAAAGGAGTGTTAAATCCCTCCAATTAATCCCCTCTCCCCCCATTTAGGGCATGAAAAAGAGATTAGAGCAGCCTTTATGTTGTTGTCAGAAAGGCTGTACTATGTAGCTTATCCAGCAGCTGTTTCTATGCCTAGCAGATTAGTGGCAGCCCCTGGGAGTTTCTCAGTTTGTACCCAGTCGTGTTACAAACAAACATGAACAAAGCATGAGTTCATATTTTGGTTAAGGTACTCTCAGCCCTAACCTACACAATGACCCAGTTTTGGATCCATAGTAAATCTAACTACATGCAAACGTGGCTACTGGCTGGGTTCACATTGTTCACTAAGCCAAAACCAAGTCAGAGCTAGTCCTTGATGCAACTTGGGACCTCAGCCACTTTGTCAACTTTTCCATCTATGGGATGGAAGCCTGTGCTTAGAATACTTTTAATGAATATTTAAGCAATTTGTACACTGTTCTTAGGATCCTTCACCTTTTATTCTGCAGATTGTTAATGTTTCCAATGCTTTTTAAGATGCATTTTATTTTAGTAGACTGTTCTGAAATTTCACTTCCCTAAATAAAAATTGCAAACATGAGTGCATGCACACACATAAGTTATGTGTACATTTCCCGAAATAAATACCACTGAGGTGGTGGCTAAGCCAAGCCTATCTTGGCAGATTGGGTGATAAATGTTTTCTTCCATCCCACCCACATAGATGCAGTTGTGCTGGAAAAGGGTACATGAAATAAACACATCACATTGACAATCCAATATTGTATTACATTGCACATTACATCAGTTGCATTTTATTTTCAGCATTGGTGCTATCTACAGATTAATACTCAGAGATGTTTGCATCTTAAAATTACTGATGGTGTCTTAGAGGTCATCTTGATATGAGATAGGGAGCAAGCTTTTTCACTGGAGGAACCGGGCCAGCTAATTCTGGTTCTATTTAAGTCTCTTGTGCTGTGTGGTGCTGTGTGTATGTTCTTATAGTACTGTGTGTAAATTCTTGCTTTTCTATGCTTGCTTGTCTATCCCAGATCTGGACATAAGCAACGAGTCCCTTGGGAGAAAACTATCTGAACTGCGTCTGTATTGTGATGTGCTGACACAGCAAGTGCTAGCTGTGCAGGATGCAACACAACCTCAAGAGAACGGTTCTCCTTTGGACATCCAGGTGGGGTGGGGGAGAATCCAGAGCAATCATGGGTTTCTGTGTTTGCATGTTCCAGCCAGGTGTAGCAAGAACTCTGACTACATTAGCAGGCTTACTTCTGATCACTGTAGGACAGGGATAGGAAGCTGAGAGCGCTCTAGGCCTCCTGGCCTTCTCTTAGCTTCAGCCAACATGGCCAATGGCAGCTTGCAGTCCAAAAGTCTCAAGAGCAAGGTGACACAATCAGTCATTGCTGTGGGTCTTGGAATTAAGAGCGAGGAGCCACACAGCAGTCCAAACATCCAAGGGCCAATAAGGATTCTAAATCTGTTTTATGGATATATAAGGCAGATATTCCTATGTTTTGGAGATGGCTCGACATAAAAGAAGCAGGGCTGATCGAAAACATTTTTTTTCCTCCTGCTTGGAAGATCCAAATGCTGTCACTATTCGCATTGATCAGCAAAGGTCACAACCTGCCTGGAAGTTCTTTGCAAACATCATTTAACCAAATGGCATCTCCTATTGGTTTCAGTGAGGCTTGGACATATCCCACTTTATCTCTTTTAATGTATTCATGCACCTGGCACAAAGCACGTCCACCTATAAAGTTGGGCATCGCATTAGAAGCAATCACAAATTCAGCAAAGAAAAATCTGTTAACTGATAGGTTAATCTGTAACCCCAAATGTATAATCAAAGTGAAGTGCTTTAATCTTTTGGATGTGGGTGACTTATCAGTTGATCTGAGTGCTAAAAGAAAATCCCTCAAGCTTTCTGAACAATTTTATTCTCTCTTCAGTAAACTGCTTACTGGCGAAAGTATGCTTTAGAGCAGAAACACTGGAATATTATTCCATTCTCATGGCAGTGTTGGAAAAGAACCATGCCCCAGTGGGCTGGATCTAATTTCATTATCTGCAGTATGTCCCACAGCCTTGGCTCTCCAATTTGGATGGAGCTGCAGTTTAGCCCAGTTTCTTTTCTGGTTGCACGTGCCAGAAATATCGTCTTGAAGCTTTTGATAGTATTAATTTAGTTTTACTTCTAATATCACTAATGTATAATTGGCTGGAACTTTATCAGAATAAGATAAGATAGAATTCATACTGCTTTCTGTACCATATTCAGCCGCCAATTTGCAAAGCAACAGCATCAGAAGAATTTCCACAGCTTCATCTAAACTGTATTGATCCTCCCACTTTTTTAAGGAACACATTTTTGGAATGGGAATGGGGGTGGGCAACAGTGACTTGTCTCAGTATTGCTCTACCACTGCTGAAGTTTTGGCTGATAAGTAGTGTAGGTATTGTACTTTTATTTTCACCACCATTTAAAAAATGGGCTTCAGATCTTAAGGATTGCAGACTGGTGGGAAATCAAGTACCTTTCTGTACTTTGCTTTCTTATTTAAGTGCATTACAAGCAAAGATGGCGGGACGGGGAGAGTGATTTCAGGAGAGAGTCCTCAATCCCATCTCCTGTGCCTAATAGAATCGCAGAGCTTGTATGGCCAGTGTTGATTTGCTGAAATGATACAGTCCTTCCATATAGTTGAATGGAGACTTAATGTTCATATATGGAATTGCTTATTTGGAAACCCACCTCCTTTGGGCAGCAAGGGGGCACAGAGAGAGCAACTGAATATTTGAATTGGGTTTTTTGGCTCTCAAGCCCTCCCCTAATCGGGTGGTGGGGCTCTGAGGACTAGGGTGGAAAGCTGTAGTGCTGCTTCACTTGTCTCTGCTCTCAATTCCCAGCAGAAGATGAATGAAGCTTCATCCTTATTGCGGGCAACCTGCAGTCAGTTCATCTCCACCCTAGAAGAATGCATGAAATTTGCAAATACTCGTTTGGCTCCCGAGCTATACCATCCTTCAACAATCCCTGAGCCTTCGGATTTCGTAGGCACTAAACTTCCACATTCCCACCGGGTAAGGCTACTTATTCTTCCTATTTATATTCACTAATTCTACCCTAATAAGTTCAAGTGGGTTGCTTCTGAAAAGCTGTATTCATCCCACATTCCTGGGAAGGAGATTGTCACACTGTGTTGCTGTTTTTTATTCTCATAGATTTAATCAAGAATAGGCAACTTGGTTCCATATAAATACTTTTTGAATTACTGCCCCCATAATTTTTGACTAAAGGTCATGCTAGCTCGGATTTATGAGTTTTAGTCTTAAACATCTGGAGACCACCAAACTGCTAGTCCTGATTTAATTTCTTGTGGGAGATAATAACCAAAGAACCATTCTGGAAACATTTTACTTACTATTAAATGAATGGAATCTCAGTGTAAGCAAAATTCCTGATGCTGGTCATTTTATATTTTATTAGAACTAGAGTACGTGCTGAAAAAGCCCATAATTATTGCCCAGGGCATTTGTCTTTTTGTTTTACATGTGAAATTTATGTATTTTGATAGGTGTATTATATTGTATGTTTCTGTAAGTATGTATGTTTTTAAAAAGCCATTCTAATTTTAAAAATTTATATATTTATATTTCACTAATATATATATATATATA